TAGATCCCACAAAGACGTGTGAAGATTCCATAAAACAAAGGAAGAAGACTGAGGAAAAACAAAGACGAGAAACAGAAGAAAACCAAATGGATCATTTTGATCAACTGGCAAACAACTTCGGTTAAAGTGGTCAGTTAACCAGTTAGCTCACCGTGACTGGTTTCTTGGGTCGGAATTTGCTGCTGAGTTTAAGGCGAAAGCAAAAACCCGATCTCCTGCAGCTCTTCAAAGGCGGGAGTGAATACCGCCACACTAAAGTGGATCACACACGGCCCCCATGCACAGATCCTTCCCCTGTAGATCAAGTAGATCATACATACAGGATCCAATACACCTCAGTGGATTACTTACCCAGATCCCCCAGCAATGGTCTACTCACATATCCATCCTATGCAGTATGGGATCACATGCAAATCTCTACCTGGATCACATTAGATCTCCCTTTTACAGTTCAATGGATCACATACAGATCTCATGTGTAAAATACCAGATCACACCAGATCAGTGTATCTTTTAATGTATAGATCTCAATTTTCCAGAGTTATGGAGATCACATAGATCTACATAGAAGTAACAGCACTGGTATATTTGATCAAATCTGATAGCTTCCTCTCCACTTTCCACCTGTTACTGTTGATGAATTTGTGCTCTTTTTTTGAGCATTTTTAAAATGTAACATTTAAATGTAAACAAATATTATCACAAGCTTAACGAAACGAGGGGCTGAATAAATGTGAATGTTGTGACAAGGCCCTGGCCTAAGCGAATGTGAGTCGGCGCTTGGCTCGGCTGCATTGAGCCATTTGGCTGTCAGTCACATCGAACCACTGTCAGTCATCCCAAGATCCCCTTGGCATTCAGCAGAGTGCAGTGAAGGGAAGGAGCTCAGGCAGGTGCACTGTGTAATTCGGCCAGCAGGGGGCATCGCAGGCCCTTCCTGTCTGCTGGTCTCCATGCCTAAACACCAGCCTGGAAGGAGCAACCAGGCAAACAGAGGGGAGAGAGAAAAGCACAGGCACACACAAACACACACACACACACACACACACACATCCTCGCACGCACACTTGCACGCACACATATGAACAGGGAGGTGATGTAGAAGACCCTGTGATTTTAAGTGGAGCAGAAATAAATTTGAGGCTCCATCCAGATGGATACACTTCTGACATGAATGAAGAGAGTCTTAATGGTTTACAGTGCTGGCATGAGTCATTGAAACAAGAAACGAGATTCAACTCACACAGGTTTGCAATTTCCATAAGAAAAATAACCCAACAAGCCGCCACACCGCACACTGAGTGAGAACATAGAGTCAGACTGAAAAGCAACAGAGATGAACATTTGTCCTTAACTTTGGACTTTTCCAGAAAAAAAAAAAAACTGACTGCCCTGAGAGGAAGAGTGCTCTCCAAGTGAACATTCTAACCAGACCCAACACTTCAGACCCTCTCTTTCATTCAGCGTCTGCAGCTTTTTTTGTTATTCTGTGAGGCACTCCTGTGGAAGAAAGCCTACTCAACAAATGATCTTTGTCCCTTTTTTGCCTGTTCTTTTATCTGTGGAAGTTTGCTCTCGGAGCTGAGACTGGCTCACCTCTGTGTTCAGTGCACTTTGGAAGAACTCTCAAAACAGACTGATAAGAGGTGCTTTGGCTCTGGGGAAGGAGAAGAGAGGAGAGGAAAGGAGAGAAACACAGAGAAACTCTGTCACTGGAGAGACTCTCTAGTCTGTCGCGCTGGCCTAATTAGTTCCAACAAGAGACGGACAGGTTTTTGAAGGAAACTTTTTTTTTTCAGAAGGGGGGGGTGGGGGGGGGTTGGGGGGGGGGCGTGGGGGTTGGCTCTTTGTACTTTCACACCATTTTCTCCCCATCTCCCTCCAGGCATCCGCTTTTAAAACTCTGCTAACGCCGCGATCGGACGGAACGATATACGTATACTGTCTGCATTCGAGCGGCTGCTTTTCTTTAGTGAGAAAAAGAAAAAGTCCCAAAAAAAGAAAAGAAATCAGAAACCCGAAGGAGCTGCTTTGCATGAATGGTGGAAAAAAAATGTGAAATGTTCTGAGGGACTTAAACTGCGATATGACGTGGTGTTGTGTCTGTAGATGCAGCTTGGAGTTGTTACCGCATGCTGTATGGGAAACTAGGTTTACAGGTACAGGAATGCTGGTTTATGGGAACACTGGTTTGGGGGGGGGGGGGGGGGGGGGGAGGACGCTAACTGTCCCACAATAGCTCATATACCATGATCCAAACTCGGCTCCGAAGACAGGATGTTGTACGCATTTGCTCATATAAAAAAGGGAAAATTGTGGTCTTGCGTTCCACACATAACATATTTGAACATGGATAGCTGACAATGATAAATTCGTTGCAATTGTCTTTTTCAGTATGGAGCTTTGTCTCTTTTGATTCTATTGCCACCTGGCCACACAGCAGTGATAGGCTTATGCTGGGTGAATAAAAGGGAAATCGCTCATAAGTGATTGTATGTTTGTACCTATCAACGGTGTCCTATATTTGTATATGAGAAATTGAAACGGAATATTTTAAAACACTGCTCACTCTGTCTTCATCATTGCAGCATTAATAGTTTTGTCATGCAGGTTTTCAGACCAGATGTATTACATCATATTTATGGGAAATTTACTGGACAGAGATGAATGACAATGACCTTATATAAAAAAATAAATGACCAAAAAAAAAAGATTATGAAAAGATAAGCGGGAAGGCTAATGTCTTGCCTGGAGTTTGGTCGTAATGGAGTCCTGAGTCGGACTGGGTCTGTAATCAAAGCCACAGCTTTCTCAGCAGCGGGCCGCGCTTCCCACTGAACTGGGAAAATGTGTGCCGGGTCGGAATCCGCCTTAATAGTGAACAGATGCTTCCGCTCATTCTGATTGGCCGAGAGTGGGAGGTCAGCCCTGGATGGCTCCCGCCGTGGGCTCCGGGGCGGTGAAGGAGTCTGGGGCTTCTGCAGGTGTCCGGCGGGGGCCGACACGCCTCGTTCGGGAAAAAAAGGGGGGGGGGGGGGGGGGGCGGGAGAAATACGAGCACAGCTGTGCGCCAGTGTTTTCGGCAGCTGATCTTATCTTCCGTGCCGTGGCCCAGATCCCTGCGGCCATGTGGTGTTTCTCTGCTCAGTCACAATATACAGGGGAGCAACAGAGGGAGTACACACCCATCTAAAGCACTGGAGCTACAGTAAATATCAGGCCTTTTACCAGTAATACATATGGGCTCTGGAGTTACAGTCAGTATACTCACCTATTTGCCTTATTACCATTAATACATATGGGCAATATGTATTAATGGTAATTACATATTGCCCACCTCCTCAGACAGTATACTCACCTATTAGCCTTATTACCATTAATACATATGGGCTTTGGAGTTACAGTATGCCCACCTCCTCAGACAGTATACCCACCTATTAGCCTTATTACCATTAATACATATGGGCTTTGGAGTTACAGTATGTCCCCCTCCTCAGACAGTATACCCACCTATTAGCCTTATTACCATTAATACATATGGGCTTTGGAGTTACAGTATGCCCACCTCCTCAGACAGTATACTCACCTATTAGCCTTATTACCATTAATACATATGGGCTTTGGAGTCACAGTATGTCCACCTCCTCAGACAGTATACCCACCTATTAGCCTTATTACCATTAATACATATGGGCTTTGGAGTTACAGTATGCCCACCTCCTCAGACAGTATACCCACCTATTAGCCTTATTACCATTAATACATATGGGCTTTGGAGTTACAGTATGTCCCCCTCCTCAGACAGTATACCCACCTATTAGCCTTATTACCATTAATACATATGGGCTTTGGAGTTACAGTATGCCCACCTCCTCAGACAGTATACTCACCTATTAGCCTTATTACCATTAATACATATGGGCTTTGGAGTCACAGTATGTCCACCTCCTCAGACAGTATACCCACCTATTAGCCTTATTACCATTAATACATGTGGGCTCTGGAGTTACAGTATGCCCACCACCTCAGACAGTATACTCACGTATTAGCCTTATTACCATTAATACATGTGGGCATTGGAGTTGCAGTATGCCCACCTCCTAGGACATCATGCTCACCTATTAGCCTTATTACAGTTAATACAATGATCATATTTCAATAGCTTAGACCTCCACTGGAGGAGTATTTGAATAACGGCATGTTTTATTGTATCTGTTCTCATTACAGTACATTCATTAGTTACATTAATCACATTAATTGTTACAAGAATACTGCGCTGTTTAGGATTGCACAATTCTCTGGATATATTGAAAATATCGAACATGGAGGAGAAGCAAAGCAGTTGCACAGAACACACATTTAAATTAACCTTATAGACAACAAAAGAGCAAGTGCAACATTAAACATGACCGATTATTAGCAGTTTACAGTTGTACAAGCAAAAAAACCCAGGTGCAAAAGAAAAGATAGCTTCGCTTCAACAAAACAAGCTAAAGAACCATAAGCCAGCCCAGATTCTGGACATCATGATGAGAACAAATTATCGTTATATAACCCCCTTTGATTTATATCCAATACTTATTGCCATGTATCCCAAAATCCTCTTAGGCTTTTTTTTTTTTTTCTTTTTTACTTTTACAGCACAATGCCAAGATTCTGATAAACTTCCACCAGCTACTACTTCCATCTATTTCCAGGCTGAATACATTCTGGTATTGGTTCTACCCTGAAACAAGCCTGTTTTAGCATTGAAATTCCCATATGCAGAACTATACATTGAGCCATGCTGAAAGTAATCCTCCAGGTTTCCACCCACTTCTGGATTCTGTTAAAATCTTCCTGCATTACTGTAGTAGACTCTCAGCTGTTTGCTTAACCCCTCAGCTTTTGTCTGCAGATTTAACTATTTTGCTACTGTACTCCATATCAAGACTAGAATTTATATACATGGAAAAATAAAAAAAGGCCTGAACAGGGGATGCAGGACAATGCTCAGGAGTGATACTTTACTTAAATGGTTAGGCAGCTGGCTTTATAAGTCAGAGGTTGCAGGTTCAATTCCCAGGTAGGGCACGGGTGCTGTACCCTTGAGTAAGGCACTTAACCTGATTTGCTTCAGTAAATATCCAGCTGTGTAAATCGACAGTGTGGAAAATGTTAGCTGTGTCAGTCGCAAGAATATGCTACATGCCCAGATACAATTCCTCCTGTGGTTTACTCTTCGAACAATTCTGTGCAACGAATTTCAAACCCAGTCTCTAGGCTCACATGCTGTACTGTCAAATGCTTCTTGAAGGTCCAACTAAATAATATCTCAACCCTGCAAGTCAAACATGCTGGAGCTTTCTCAACAAAGTCCAGGAGGTTTGTTGGGCATGACCACCCTCCGCAAACTCCTTTTGTCTGTCCAAATGCATTTGCATTTGTAATTGCAAGGTCGCCATTATAAATTCCAATATTTCATATGAAGCAGATCAAACTGACAGGCCTGGACTTTTTTGGTTCAGTGTGGTCACCCTTTCTTGCTTATTGGCATTATACTTCCATGTGTCCTGTCATTTTTTATTTCTCAATAACATCAACGATTAAATCTGCAATGTAATTCCACTTACACTGATCTAGAGTCATACATCATACAGAGTTCAACAAACTTGTCATGTGATGACAAACAGTAAGGGATGCCATATTGAGATTAAGAATCCATAACCATAGATGTCACGTTCTACCAAGAGCACTTGTCTATAATATATACATATATATGGTCCCAGTGTGGCATAATATAACTGTCTCAGTGCTCCATGTTTCCTGTCTCAGTGTTCTCATTTCCTGTGTGATACCCAGATGAAAATGAACTGGACAGAGCTCCAGAAATCAGACACGAGGCAACTGCACAGCTCCCAATTAACGACTTTCCTCTTTTTTCGTGATGCCGCCAGAGGCACCACCATGTCATTTATTAGTGGAGGTTGACCCGCTCTGTCTGAAACGATGAAACGACAGACACACACACACACACACACACACACACGCACGCACGCTGCCCAGTTCACAGACACCACGGGGCACGAAAAGCAATGATCTCACAGAAAGGTGCGGACGAGGGCTCTTTGATGTTGTGCGCGCCGGTTTTTTCCCACGGCAGACACATATGGCAGCCTCTCTCTCTCGCAGAGGGGCTGTAAAGCTTCCCTCCGCTGTGAGGCCTACTTCCCTCCCCCCCCCCCCCCCCCCCCCCCCCCCCCCCCCCCCCACAGCTCAGCTGCTGCACGTTTCTGAAGGGGTCTGCCCACAGCTGTCTTCCATCATGGGTACATCTGGGGTCACTTCAACTCCCAGAATGCCATCCTCGGGTCCAGCCTAGCACAACAGGGCGCACAATGCTTACACTCAATATTATGTACACATATATCATTTTTTTTATGTGTTTTACAAAATAATAAAAAATATATAGAAATATGGATTAACTACTTAGGTGCTGGACTGCCCTTTTCCCTCAGAATTGCTTCAGCCCTATTTGGAATAAGGTTATACAAGTTTTGAATAGTTTATTGTAGAATCCTGAATCATTGTTCTAGAATTTCTTTGGAAAGCTAAGGAGGTGGACATCTACTCAACAATCTATGCTTCGTAAACTTCCCATAAAAATTTGAGGATGTTTAGATCCTGGTGATTTGGAAGGCCACTTGTGTCCATTTTAGCAGCATGTACGGGGGTGGTTACAGTCTGGGTCTTGGTGACATCTTGAGGAAACAATTTATGCATCACAGGGTGTATGTAGTCACCTAAATTGTGTGTGTTCTGCGGCCATAACTCTATCATGAGGGGCAGTAACGGAACCCGATGACTCCCACGAGATGGCTGCCCAGAACATGACAGATCATGACCACCATGTTTCTAAGCTGAGAGTAGGAAAATTCTCTTCATTTGTGGAGATTCATTACAACGACCATTTCCGGGCAGACGGCTTCATCAAAAAATTAGTAAAAACGTGTTTTAGAAACTTTTACATGTAAATGTAATGCCTTTATAAAAACTATTAAAGCATGTATCCAGTTTGAAGTTTATTACCAAACCTAACAGAATGATTTATCACTTACAAGTAACTTGGGTTTACAACATTCAAACATATTACATTAAGAATGGCAGTTGGTTTATAACATGTGTCTTTTTATTTGTATACAGTTTTAAATTGTTAAGCATAGCTTATGATGTGTAGCTTTTATTATGCAAGTCATGGAACATAAAGGTGTCAGTTCTAATTTGTACACTCCACAAGTGGTTCTCAGTTGAGGAAAGTATTAAAATCTATGTTTTTTTTAATTGAATACTAGTTTTATGCACATTTTCAAGCAAATTGGATGATATTAGGCATTTCAAGTGCAGATTAGAAACTAATAAAAATATATGAAAATAGGCTGAGATGTTTGTTTTGTACCATACTGTATTTGTTATAAAATGTGCGATCAATTTCATGAAAAAATATTTAATTTATTCATCATATATTCATCATGGTGATTGGCGATCATGAACTGTTTTGCATATTGACTCCTGATTGGTTGGAAGGGCATCCAAGTATAAGAATGAGGAAAAGGTACATTGAACACAATTTTACCATAAAATACAACTTTCTCTCAAAGGATTCCACCAATTGTGTTAGCAGTAGCATTAGCATCGTTTTGAATGTGTCATAACAATAAATCCCACATGCACCCTTGTTAATATCTACAGGGATCATTTGATCTATTGAATTATGAAATAGTTCACTGGAGAGGATTTTATACTGACCAGCTGACTGAAAATAGCTCAGATAAACCACTGCAGAGGGACTCAAGATGGCGGCAGATTTGTTCTTAAGTTATTTCTGAAATCACAGTGTGCTATCAATATTGATTTAGCGGTGATGCATAAAAAAATCCCACACACACCCCCTTTAAGGTGTGTAACTAGATCAGTTAACGGAAAATCCAGCTCTGGTTTGATTACTGGAGGCCACAAAATAAGAGTATCCGTTATAAAAAAAAAAAGGAAACAATAGGACTTTGAAAGATGTTAACCACACAATTCCTGTGGTGTCTCTATCTAAGAGGTTCTGTTGTATCTAAATTGACTTTTCTAGCAAGACTATTTTTTTTCATGAGCTAGTGCTGACTGGTGGTAGCCCTTCACCAATCAGAGCCTACCACAGTTACCATGTGGAGAGGATGGGACTGAGGCAAACCAAGGCCATCTGGTTTGGATACAGAACATCTGTGACATGGAGCACTGAAACGGGAACCACGGAGCACTGAAACTAATCTATTCCCTGAGAGAGAAGGTCAGAAACCCAGTGCTGGGTTTAACGGCTATCTGTCCCGCGACCATATCTCCTTTCTTACAGTTTCCTCTGCAAATGTTCAAATATTTACTTAGAAAATATCTGCGGAGCACGCCGCATGACTCTAGAAGAGTCCCTTAGCGTGAGGCGGCCTCGGAACGGGGACTTCGCTCGTCCAAACTGTTGAAAGAAAACCATGAAACAGCGAGAAGAAGATGTTTTACTGTCCAGATAAAAACTGACGGTCACCAGAGAGGGATAGATGAGGCACATTAGAACTGAAAGGAGGATTTGTGGAAGAGACATCGGTATAAAGTCCTCTCGGAGGGTCCCCCTTTCTCCGTGCCAGTTCTTCTCTTTCTCAACACTCCAGCGACCGCAGGCTCAAAACCGCACTGCACTCCTGCACACTCTGCTAACCCCACACTCACTGACCACACACTCCAGACCACGCTCCAGCGATTTCACACACTACTGACCTCGCACTCCAATGACCCCCTCTCTGAGCTGGCCATATGAGCCCTTTGTTTGATATGAAATGAGATTTAGGGTGCAAACAGCTGGAGGGGGAGGTGGGGGTTGGGGTAGGGGGTAGTGATGGGATTTTAGTTGGGGGGTGGGTGGGGCGAGGGGACCCCTACTCTCACTCTCAGTTCCAGCTGCAGCTGGCTGACTGCCAACACAGCTGAGCACCAAAAGCCCCCCCCCCCCCCCCCCCCCCCCCCCATACACACCCCCCTTAACCCCCCCACCCAGTCCTACCCAGCGTATCCGAGGAAAGTTGGTCAAAGTCTGTAATCTTTATTTCTTGGCAAAGGCACCTGGACCGGTTCCAGCAAGGCTAACAACTCACAAAGTTGGAGCTCTGCTACAGACTCAGTCACGCTTTCTTGGACAGCCATACCTGTTTCCGCATTAAAGTGGAAGAATAATATTACCGTTACAACTGCTAACAATAATAATTTCAAATGACTTCGGACTGTCGTTTCCGCAATGTGGTTCTCTGTCTTTGTTCACCTCTCTGAAAAAGTGTACACTTGGATTTAATATCCTCCGACAAGTGGCCTTCCACTCATAAAGGCCTAAACTCACATGAATAAAAATGAAGAATGGCATTTTTGGGACAGCTATAATTAACAGTATCCAAAATATATTGTTGGTTATTGAAGCCGTCTGCAACCTCTAACCTTCAGAAATTGTTTGCATATTTATTGTACCATAATGAGAAATCTTACTTTAAGGACTCTGACTGAAGACATAATTTGAAACGTTAATTTTCACTGCTCCGTTTAGTTTCTAAGTGAAGAAATGACAGACGGAAAGTTCTCTTACTCCTCTTGAATGGAGCTCGTTGCTTCACTCTACTGAATGTGCCTAATCTTGTGTGTGTGTGTGTGTGTGTGTGTGTGTGTGTGGGCGGGGTTCGTCTGGCAAATAAACGATGCGATTTCTCAAGGTGGCGGTGCAGTGCGCATTCAATGATGGTGACACAGCCCATAAACACAGACCTGGCCCCACTTTAACACCATGCTTCAAACCGCCGTTTTATCTGATCGATTATATTTGTCTCTGTTCGCCAGTCAGAGTGATGAGGCCACGGGTGTCTGCTTTTCTGTGACGCGTCTACTCGTGACGTCAGGACTGGGGGCAGACATAAATCTTGTTTAGATTATTATTCAAGCGTTCTTTTCCTCCCAGCCCTTAATACGCAGACCACAGACTGACATTGTGCCTCTTCATATCCTTTCATATCCGTT